TTTTTTTTAACGATTTTTTGTTATCATTTAACGTATTAAGAATTAAGTCTTTTTAATGTTCATCAGCTAAGCAAGATGTCATAACCCTTGATATTGTTTTGTGGTCCCTGTTTCACAATTAAAAAAGAAGAAAGTCCACGAAACAAAAAAGTAAGTCCCTTTAAAAAGTAAGTTACTAAAAAATTTTTTTTTTTTAAATATTAAGCGACGGGTCGAACAAGTCGTGTACCCGGTGGAAAGCGTCACGCCTGTCCATAACAGTAGCACTGCCGCTCGAAGGCTACTGCTACGGCGTCCATCTCTCTGAGACATAGTTGACAAGTCCCATGTGCCTGTAATTTCACCAGCACCCTTACCCTTCAAAACTGTAACACGGTAATGTGGCAGTACTACCCTGGACGAACTCACAAGGAGCTCTACTGCTACTAGTGATTTTTGAATATGATTTTCGGAACGAAAATGGCTCAAATGCTAATCCGTCAGTGGCAGCGTGTTGTCTTTGCAAATGCAGATTCAACAATAAATGCGGCGTTAATATTTCGACGCGGGAGTAGAATTTTTAAACTGAAAGAACAAAATGAAAGGGACCTTTATGAATCAGTGCTATTCGAGCTTTAATTGCACAATTTCATCTTCACCACAGTGTGACTAATGTAACAAAATATTTTTTTAAGATGGTTTTACGGTATAAACTCATTTTTTAATTTTTTGATTTGGGTCGCTTTCATTGTAAGGGTGCGAAGTATTAGTCGGATAATTGCGTCATATTGCGTCATGCGTTAGAAGAAACATACCGACGCCGCCATGCGTTAGAACAGTACCGACGGATAGAAAGAGACAAATTTCATTCATTAAAATACAATAGATGAATGCGTATGGTAAAAAGAAACAGAGATAACTTTAAATATGTGTTTTTTAGAGGACATTAGTTTTATTAATGGATATTAAATGGAAATTTGTGTATTTTGTATGTTTGAAGATATGAAGTTAACGAAACCATATTACGTTATTATGTACTAAGTTTTAAATAATAGTTTTATTATGAACTAGTGTATTTTGGCAAAGTAATCGATAATATTTATTTTTCATTAAATGTTCACACGCATATTACATGAATAAAATAATAATAAATTTAGTAAATTATAACATAGTAATAAGAATATGGCATTAAGTACTTTATCATTTGCAATAACATGCCTGAATTTCACAATTTTTTCAAGTTACGTAATTTGGTTGTATTATGATACTCAATAGAGATGTGATGTGACTATTTATTTTCGTTAAATGACATCAGCTGATCGAAACTGTTCATGGCGAAATTTCCATAAATAACGTAGTTTGTACTAAAACAACTTTGCTAAATAGTTTCATACCATTAACTGAATCCGACCTTCAAATATGACTACACCTTGCTGTTACACCCTGTATACTTTGGTAATGGCGTAGTATTTGTAAGCCAGACCTTTTCATTTGAACCTTTTAGAGGCTTAATTATTTTGTACCAATTTTACGTACGTATATTTTGGATAAAAAAACTAACTGTGGACGTTTATTCACAGGGTGCTCTCGCGGTGCGCGGTGACAATTTATCGAATCTTATGGCACAGCCACACAAGTGCGTGTGTCCGGAGTCGGACTGTATTCCATACTGGAACGTGCCAATGCTCGTATACTGCCAGTACCATATTACGGCAGCAATACCAGAGTGGCTTCCGAGCGTAAGTGAAAATCAATTATACACTTTAATTTAAAAAAATACTTAAATTGTGGAACTTTCGGTATTTCATTTACCACACCTGATTACCGAACCTGGTGGCCGAACGGGTACCATGCCGGACTGCCACGTAGAGGTCCCAGGTTCGATTCTTGCGCCGGGAGAAATATATAAATTTATATTAATGACTTACATCATGGAGGGTATAAAACATGAGACAGTATTTGAATATTTTATTGAATGTCAAGATGTTTCACCACCACGATATTCAAGTACTTTTTTGTGAAATTACTCTACTAGTTTTGTGATAATAAAAATTAATAACAAACATCTAGAGAAATTCGTGAGGTCCGCTGGTTCGTTTCGTGACTTAGTTGGCATAGCGTCTAACACGGTTTGCTAGAAGACGTCGGTCCGAATCCGGCCGGATCGTGGGATTTTTTCTGGATGTTGGTTCTTTGTATTATTATTAATTATGAGATAGTATTGTTTGCTGATGATACTTACTTATTATTTAAAGTTAAAAGGCATCAATGTTCCTACGACGAGGTCAACAATGCAATATCTAAAGTTGTTGATTGGTTTGCTGTTAATAACCTGCTCCTTAATGAGAAAAACACAAATAGTGTGAAATTTACGTTACTCAATGTTAGAGAGACGGTTACAAACATTGTAGTCAAAAACGAACAATTGAACCTTGTGGATACAGTTGTATTTCTAAGTATAACGTTAGATGCTAAATTGCAATGGGGTCCGCATATAAGTAAGTTACTCGTATCAAAGGCTCAGGTCTGCAGTGTACGCGATTAAAAGAAAAGGGAAACTTTCCGACGTCTAACCGCTAGGTTGGTTTACTTCAGCTACTTTCACTGTCTAATGACATATCGTCGACTTTCTCAAACTCGTATCTTAAAGCACAAGTTACTGAAATGTGAAAAATGGACTGTATATGCAAATGCTGCAGGCCATTACACATCACATTTCCTTGATAATTACGCACTGGCTTTTAGCTATTCTTAAAGTAATGCATCCAAATGAACACCCGTGATAAGAAACTTAAAATAAATAACATGTTTTGCCATCTCCTGAGTGATCACTCTTTATAAGATACGAGTTTGAGAAAGTAAGGCGACGATATGACATTTTGCTTTTGGGTAATGCCGCCGATATCAATGAAATATTTGCCCTGCAGAAACGTGCGGTTAGGGCAATTTACAATCTGGGCCCAGAGTATCTCTGAGAGATAAGTTTCCATTTCAAATTTCCTAAATTATCATTCTTACGCTAGCGTCACAGTAAATTTATGGAAGTGTAATTTATGTCAAGAGGAATAGCAATTTCATTATGAAAAATGGTGACGAACATAACATTAATACGAGAAATAAAAATAAACTAGCTGTTCTTGATAGTCGTCTCCACAAAGTCACAAAGTCATTTAAGGGGCAATGTATACGCTTCTACAACTAGATTCCGGTTGAGATACAAAATTTGCCTTTCACGAGGTTTATAACTACAGTGATACAAAAACTTTGTACTATTATACAACTTCTGCGTACTTGGATGACAAAAATCCGTGGCAATAACCCGTTGAGCTCATGGTGCTGGTCTCGATCTCTAATGTTTGAAAACAAAAAAATATATATTGTAAATGTTGAATGCGTACAAATGTTATTTACAAAGAGCAACCCCTGGGGTTTCTTGTTCATTCTCCTCAGGGCAATCTGCCTTACGAATGAGCGGTAGAGTTTAACCAATGTGACGATTTCAAGTGTAATAATGCTTACTTATGAAATAAATATTATTTTGATTTTATCATTATTACGTTTTATCGTAATAATTTTTATCAATATTTCTAAATAGAAAATATTACGGTTACCATTGTGATAATATTATTTCTAGCTACAATTCACTGTTTTGTGTTACATTTATTCATTGAGTATCAAAACGTCCTGCTTTTTAAACAATTATTGTTGTAAAACGTAGCTAATTTCATGAAAAAGGTAAAGCCGAGACTCTGTTTTGTTTATATTCATGAACTATGATATATGAGGTAGAGAACAATTATGATAAAGTTGTTAACAAAATACTTTTTATATAATACATAAACCCTCTTTAATCAACCACTCAGGTCGACCTCCTTGCAAGTAACGATCCTCCGCTTTTGCGTAGTTTGCCCATGGCCGTACCCCACGACGGTTAAGATCTCAGCTTATTGTCATCAGTGACTACTTTCCACTTTTAGCTTGCTCATTGCTATTATTGAGTTGTCGCCGACTTTGTTTAGGCATAGATCAACCAATTTAACCACCCCCAATTTGAAGATCAACACCTCATACGGTCCATAAAAGTCTACGTAGTGTCTTGCCTATGATCCGTGGTTAGTATAGAAAACGGTTCGTGGTGTAGGTGCCTCGAGACAATCAAGATTATCTCAACTATTACAATAAAAACAATAGCAAAATTTAATTTCGTACCACACATCAGAAAATAGCGATGTAAATTATAATAGCTTCACGCTGTCAGTTTTGGTACTTTAGAAAACACCAGACTATTTCTTGTTGTAATAACAACAACAACGACAACTTTTGAAATATAAAATCGATTTATTAGTGCTTAAGATCCGCACAATTTTAGATCTCGGCCGCAACTCACAGGGACAGCAGGCCCTCGTGCAACGGCGGCAGGCGGCGCAGGCCCGCGCCTCGACAGTCCAGAAGCGCGCCGCCGCCGCAAGCGCAGCCCTCGGCGGCGCACGGGCCGCCGCCGGCGCCGCCCGCTGCCGCCAGCAGCGCCAGCGCCGCGGCCAGCGCCAGCGCGCGCCGCATCCTTCACCTGCCGCGCATCGTCGCGGCCGCGGCCTCCCGCGCCACTAGCTCACTCACTGCACTGCACTCGCTGCGCTGCTAACGCCCCGGTCGCCCTGGGCGCGGTTCGCCGGCGGCGAGGCGACTGCCGCTGCGGGTACGCGATTCGCTCGATATCGGCGCACGTGGTGCTGCCGGCGACGTGCGGCGGTCAATGAAACAACGTACGAACAGAGTGCGCGCCGCGCGGGGACTGCCGCGGCCGCCGCGTGTTGTTGTCGGCCTCCCCCGCGCCGCCGCCGCCGCCGTTGCCGGAGCCGTGATGTCTGTCGCATCCTCCTGCCGCCTAAGCTCCTTTCACTCGCGACCGTCCGTTGCTTTACTCGCGCCGAGTTTTGATTGTTTATTATAAATTATTATCCGCCTTTTGATTATTTTATGCGATAGGTAATGTTAAAATGTGACAATTATTTATTATGTAAAGGAATGACTGAATTCATATTAATATTTTTGTACGAGTCAACTTCCGAACGATCGGTTATGAACGCAAATTTCAAAAAAAAGAGGAAGATATTAACGTTTACTTACGTTTTGCTACGCGGCCTAATGGCGGTGCTTTTTTCCATTACAAAGCTACACTTTAGAAATTTAATTAAGAGAGAAAACCTGTGATTTGTCTTGTAATTTTATATTGATTATGATAAGCAATAAAGAATATTGAAAGTGTTCTTTGTAGTGCAAGTTTTTTATTTGGGAATACGATAAACCTACATGGCGTTAATACCGCAGTAGTAAGGATGTTTTGCACCGGTTTCTACACAAATATGAAGGAGAGCTTTCATTTGTAAGAAATAATAATTTCTTTACTATGGCATCGGAGGAAGACTTTTCGACATCGACGCTATAAACGACGCTCAGTTATTGTAAGTTAATTCGCTCAGTTCATAAAGAGGTAATTGTTGAACAAATATATCATATTTCAGGGTGAATAAAGATTTTTATGATTACTTTGTTTTATTATTCAACCCTTCGTAAAGTACCGGATAGACTTGAAATCTAGTATGTTAATGAAAGTACGACCTTCCTCTTCCTCTTCTTCTTATCATATCGATTCATATCATATCATATCGACATATATTTAAATACAATAGTGGCCCAGAACTCAGCCAAGTCGACCGCGTCACTAGCAGCCGCCATTATTTAGAGGATTTTATGCTCACGCGGGAGCAGCAAACACTGCGTTACCGTGTTTCGGATGACAGGTCTCGGCCATAAGCTAAGTCCAGGAATGTGTGGTCGCCCTTGTGTTTCCTCTCGGTGAGTTTCTTGGACACACAAGACATCGCATCGCAGCGTTCGGAAAGAATTTGTGATTTGTTTTGTGAGAAACCCTCTACGTTAATCGAGACTACGCACAGAGCCGGCTCCAGTGCTGAACGGTGGGACATGCTTGCCATCGTGGTGAAAGGATTTGCCAATGAGCCGATTGTTGCCCAGGGTGCGCCAGACGTACAGGAAAAGAATGGTACGTCGTGCCGGGAAGGCTCCCTTCTCGCACCCCAAAAGTACGATGTACGAGACAGTACAATAAATCATTAATACTGTGATCGTTGAGCGTAGATACGTATACGCACACACCTGCTTATCAATAATATCCTTCGTTGCCACTAGTTCTATTGAATAGTCCTATTATAGAACTACTGGGACTTTCTTCCCCATTCGTTCTATTAAGTTCTATTGCAATAAATAATAGAACTAGTGGGAAAAATCATTTCCCAATAGTTATATTGACTTTGTTCTATTTTTATCCCAAAAATAATTTAACCTTAATGTATGTACGGTTGAAGAATATGTATAACCGATACATATAATTAACGTAAACTTGATAAATTAAAATAAAAAAAATCGAAAATTGTGAACTTGACTAAGTAAAATTTAAAAATAATAAAAATTAATCAAACATTGTAGCCTTGACAAAATAAAATTAAAAATTATACAAAAAAATGATCAAACATTGCAGACTTGATAAAATAATTTTTTTTTTTAATTATAAAAATTTGTTAATTTCACAAATTATAATTTAAAAAAATAATCTAAAATTGTATTGTTGTTGTGTAACTTGACAATTATAAACTAAAAAATTATCAACATAGTCAAAAATTATAAACTTGACAAAATAAAAAAATATATAATTAAAAATTTATAAAAATTTTAAACTTGACAAATTAAAATTAATAATGATCAAATACTGTACACTTGACAAATTAAAATTAAAAATGATCAAAAACTGTGAACTTGACAAAACAAATTTAAAAATAATAAAAAAATGATCGACAATTGTAAACTGGAGAAAATAAAATAAAAAATTATAAAAAGAATTATCAAATTTTTTTAATTTTAATTTGTGAAGTTTACAGTATTTGATCATTGTTTATCCTCCTTAATTTTAATTTGTCAAGTTTACAATTTTTGATTGGTTTTTTATTTTAATTCGTCAAGTTTACAACTTTTGATTAGTTTTTTTTATTTTAATTTGTCAAGTTTACAATTTTTGATTAGTTTTTTATTTTCATTTGTCAAGTTAATAATTTTTGATTAATTTTTTAAATAATTTTTGTAACAAAATCACATAACAGGCAACTCATATTAGTTCCGTCACGCACCGCTAGATGGCATTGGCGTCGAAACAGCAAATTCTGCATCGCGGTATTAAGATTTTCCCTCGCGGAATGACTACTGGCGGCAATGCGAATACTAATTAATCCAACGTACTACGCAACTAGCTTTGCTTCCGTCTTCGGAACTGTGCCCACTGTGCGGACATGCGCATTTGTGTGCGTGTAAATTTGCCAGATGCAGCGAATAAACTTCCGTAATATTTTCTGTTAATTTCTATGATACAAATATCACAAACTGGATATTTTATTTTGGAATGTGGGTACTTAAGTGTTATTTGATTATCAAACAAATTATATGCAATATAATTTAATATTGAATTGTTATTATTTGATTTACATACACATTACATAAAGGAAAAAATATTTTATTAAGATATTTTAAAAATTGAAAATCTTTGATACTTAATTCAAAATATTACAATTACATTTACACAATATCATAATAACCTTTATATTGTACAATTTTTTTATAATACTACCGTTCCGCGTCTATACATCGAGCATTCGTTTCTAATTTACCTGTGAAGTTGTTACATTATAATCATTGCTTATGACACGTGCATACAACAATGAAAGTTCTCTGTATCTATAGAGTGAATCACAAAAAATATCGAGTTAATAAATTACAAAACAGTTAAATTATCAATAGGTGACTGAGAAAAGAAATTCCATCTCATGTTCTTGGTTTTTGGGAATAACTTTTACACTACTTAAAGACACAAGACGGCATTTTTAAGACGAGAGGACGTTGACAAAATTTGCGGCTGAGCTGTTTAATCGTCATCGTAAATTATCAATATTGATGGCTAATTGTCGAAGGTAAGTTTGTGTATTACCTACCTATGTTGAACGGTAAAAAATATTATTTTCATGCGTACTTAGAACTTACGAATTTTGATTTCATCAATAATAAGATTGAAAATTCACCGGTATAAGAGTGAAGGTCGTGCAGACGATTTTAGTTCTTGTTATGTGCTGTATAACATTTAAATTAGTTTATTCCCGCTTTCGCGGCCCACTCGATTGATATGACGATACCATTTACATGTTTTACGTTACATATTATAAATATATAATATTTGTAAAAATGACAGTATGATTTTGATCTAATTGATTGTTAGGTTACTTCTGCAAAACACACACAAAATCCAGAAAGGACTTCGTACAGACAGAGAATAAATAGTTGATGTCGTTGTTTTTTTTTATTACGAGAACTGATTTTGATATTGAACTAAATAATTACACATAATCGTAGGTATTTTACATAAGAGCAAAAGAAATTTAAATCAAATAAATAAAATTTTAAATTTAAAGTAATTTAACACATAGATAACACGATTATGGTATTGGTTTTTGTCTTTGACTCGACAAGAAGATTAGAGCAATCTGTTTATTATCTGTTCTATTTACCAAACAAATACGAGTATAATAGGTATCGTGCTTTATGAAATTTCATTAGAGACACAAATTTTGTGTGGAATAGAAAAAACTGTGAAGTCGCCATTAGGACTAATAAATTTACAACTAGTTCCAGTACAGTAAGTATTGTGTTATGTTTATACAGGGGTGATAAAAAACCACTGACCATTTTAAAGGAGCACACTGCATAATGGAAATAAAAAATACATGTTCGGTTTTTTTTTTCAAATACTTAACACATAAATAAGTTATGACGTCTCAAAGTTTTATATCTTAAATTTTATTTACTATCTTCAATTTTCATAAATTTCGTGGAAAGATTACTAGAAATTCACAGTTTCCAGAATATATCGGAAATAAAGCATAAATCATACTGTCATTTTTACAAATATTATATATTTATAATATGTAATGTAAAACATGTAGGTTAGGTTAGGTTCTCCCCCCGGGCGTGCATCTGGTGTGTTATGCTGATGACACCCTGGTGCTCACCGGAGGGGAGGACTTCGAGAGGACCATCCGGCTCGCTGAGCTCGCGGTTTCTCGAGTCGTCGAAAAAATAAAGGAGCTGGGTTTGCGAGTAGCGCCTCAGAAAACTGAGGCGAAGTTAGGTTAGGTTAGGTTTTTTTTTTAAAGTTCATGAGTACTGCTCGACATGGGGTCTGCGCTAATGGGATACACTTCTCCCATGTCTGCCTGTTATTGATGGTGAAGAGTGTTTTAGTATGGAAATGGATGACATGATTTAGTGTGAGTAATAAGAATATAAGAATGGAAATAAATGCTTACTGAGAAGCATAG